CCTATCTTAAAGTGGCGCATTTCTAGTGTAGTCTGAAATGTGAAAGTGGTCCGACACGTAGTAGATCGTTGTTTATTGTGAGGTTTTTGAGAAGGCAATAATGTTATATATTGATTACTTCATGCCATGTAGAAGTTCTACTTATCACTGATAGATCAGACAAGCTGATTGTGTCTAGTCAGTGAAATTTATCCAATCAGTGACCGATGTGAAAACATTTGATGGCGGCGCGGCTGTGTACGCGACGAGTTTGCCTCCCCCTGTTCTGCTGATCGATCTACCGATCGATTGTTGTTACTGTACATTGTGATCGCCTTTCAATTTGTGCGCTTTCGGCTATTTTTTACGACGATTTTCTCCATTCGATTATCATCAAATGAATTTTTCGATTTGAAGTTCGTGAAGAGTTTGACATGTGAAGTTTGATCTAGAGAGATATTTTACAGAAAATCCCTAGGAAGGATATTCTCGGTCATTTATATTCGTGATCCCCGCAAACGATAGGGCGTGTGAGAGGCGTAACTTGAAGCGCGGCCAGGGCAGCCTTTCCGGCCAATTGCTGCGGACTGACGGATCGCATCATTGGTCGAGAAGGCCGCCTTGGTAGGGTTCCAATCCACGCCCGTCAGGCAGCGTATAGACTTCGCGATGGCGTTCGTCGACGCGCTTCAACGCGGTAATCGGTCGGCGCTGCCTTAGTGGCCAGGGCCAATCGATACCAGGCTATGTGACTGAGCAGACGTTCACCCATGACCTCAATACATACGCGGGTAGCGCCTCTCTCTCACACGCTCTGTCGTTTGCAGAGATTGTATTCACTTGAGCCTTTTTCTCTCAAACTATGATCAGGAGGAATGGCATCCTAGTATGAAAGAATGGTGGCTGGAGAAGAAGAAGAGGAAGTGCAGTGGAGAAAAATACTGTACCGTAGACAACCGTATCCTGACAATTACTCTGGTGGTGACGAGCAATTTCTGAGCGAACTGAAAAAGAACCGTGCGTTAGTTGATTGCTGGGCTCTGTTCGGCTTGGTAGGGGCATCAAATGGTACTCATGGTTAGCAAAGGTGTACAGTTCACCTTTGAAGATCTGCAGGTGTTTACAAGTCTTACCAAAATGAGACTTGTTATTTGACACAAACGAACTAAGCATAGGAATTACATGAAGCACAAAATGTCTCCTCCAAGCCAAACAGCGCCGGTTTTTGCTTTGTTCGATTCAGTACTTCCGATTAGGGTGCTGCAGCTCCAGCCCGAATGCGTCCTCCCTGTACGAGCGACTTTCAAATTCCGACTTCGATCCGTTACACGTCCAAATATCCCAATTTTTTTTTTAGCTGAACGGAGGTATGTCTATTCGAGTAACTTGGAGCACAGTCCCTTGAACGCGTCGATTTTCCTCTTTTTCTCTGCCATTCCGGCACGGCACTCTATACCATATTGACAGCTTTTCACCAATCATAAGTAGCTCACCCACCCGGGTCCCCTCCCCTTGAAAAACCCCGTTTCCTGGCTCGCCATATGTTTCTTGCTCTATCCGTCGCTCTGCTCTATCCGTCTGCGTCACAGGGTTTCGTAATGGGACCATGCACAAAAGTTCAAGATGTGACGTAACCGCTAGGTATGGGGTCGCTGCAACTGGGAGACTTGCAGTGGCGCGATTGAGCTGTTTGTCTTCGCACTCTCACCAAGACAGCCCGAAATTCAGTCACAGGCTGTGCATTGGCATACCTAACCACTGGCGCCACACATTCGTTGGAAAACTCGCTACTGCGGCTGACCGCACTCCACCGCTAATCGCTGGTCCGCTACAACTGCTGAGTGGATCGAACGATTAGGGCGGAGCGTAGTCTCTCTCAGTTGCGGGGGATGAGCTGCTCGAGTCGCGAGCTGTGAACGCGGCTTTCAAAGGAGAGCCCGCGATTAGCATTCGTGGGTAGTGGTGCTCAAATGCCGATATTGCTAAGTACTTCATCAGTGAGGAAAATCAGCATACACCTCAGAAAGAGCTTTAAATAAACCGGTTCTAAGCATCACGAGAACATACAGGGAGCAGACACGTGGAGGAAAGGAACATAGGAAGGTATTGCGACGAGAGTTCGCACTGTGGGATACGCGGGACATCCTCTCTGGCAAAAAAAAAAGTCGTGTACAGCGAGCTATGTGACAGACAGTTGTAATTCGCCCACAAGAAGCATCCATGTGACGATGCGCCCGCAAATAACGATGTTCGCCTGATGGCTACAGTAATTAATGTATAACCAAAAGTAGCCGTGAACGCTCACGGTCTCGTAATCTCATAAAATCCGGTGGTCCAGTCGACGGGCTAAACCAAGTAAATGCCGCGCCATCACCACGCAACAATCTTGCAGCACAACTTACAATTATCTTGAGGTCTGTCCTGACAGCGCCGCCTGGTCCTAAGAAAGATTTCTGTGCGTTGGGTAATCTCCGACTGTGTCAAGGTCCGCGAAAGGAAGCGTAGGTAATGGTGTTGAAATATATTAGAGAAGGTACGAAGGGACTCGTCAGTGAAGCAAAAATGCAGAAGGGAACGAAAAAACGCCCCTAGTAAGGCCCCTGTAACCTCAGCGAATCAAAGGAAGAGTTAACGCGCTCGTCCAGCGAACTGATTCCCGTACTAGTGAGCCCTACAACCCCAGAAAACAGTGACAATGAGCTCCTTCTTGAGACTACTTTTCCGGTGGCATCGCTTTTCGCTAGAAAGCGAACTTAGAAGGTGGAATCTGGAGGCGGTGTCACTGGCAAGAATGTGGCGTCACTGGAGCAACATTGCGAATCGTCCTCACCCTGCAACTTTCCGCTGCGAAACTGGCAATTGTTGTCCACTGCGGACCGCACTGCCTTTCCGTAATTCCACCCCCTCTCCGTTCCCACCCAGGGTACAACATCGTTGGGAGGACCCCTTCAATATGTTCATACTTGGCCGCCAGTATTCGCTGCCACTCCTCCCCCACCGCCCCCCGGATGACGGGTTTGCTGAATTACCATGCAAATGTATTTCTAATATTTACAATAAGTTGGTAGTTGATTGATGACGGCCTCCCTCTCCTTACCCCCTGCCCCCACCCGCTGGACGACTTTCTTCAGGCAGAATCTTTGTGGATAGTGGTAGGAATTTGGCGAACCATTCTCACTAAGTAGGAGGAGGGGGGGGGGGGAGAGAAAACAGTCTGGACACCGTTTCTCTATCCACAAACCGGGAATTCGGGGAGAGGTCCTTTTGACACTGCCATTTTACCCATCACTACCGTACCCTGCTCTCACTACCTCTCCGCCACATGAGGGTCGCTGCACGGAAATCCAGCAGAATTCGTTCAGGTGGCCGGAGTGTGGCATCAGGTTGGCGCTAGGTGCTGCCAGCGTGCACAATAACCATTAGAAACAATGTCCAAGCGGAAAATTCGCATTTTTGGGTTGTATTGGTCGAATAGTTCCCAAATTGACTACTCATATCCGTTCGTTTAGTGTCTGCTGTGAAGTATACCTATTGGGAGGCGGTTTTCGGCGTCGAAAGGCTCGTATTTCACCTGAATTTGATTGTGCTACTCTACATCACCTTCGAATATGTAAGGCGTTTCTGCTTATCGATTGTTATCGATTGATTTTGTGGCAAAGAACATCAATGTTTGTAGGTGTTCACAATACACTGTCAGCGTAGTGTAACTAGGCAACCAGGGTCTAATTATCGACTAGGCTCGCTTCTCTATTTAGTATATTGCTTTGCTATTGGACTGAAAGACTTCAATTAATTTCGCCGACCACCTGTATACGGTAGTGGTATTGTTTTTCTTTGGATATGCAACAACTCCGGCTATAAGGTGGGTGTGCCACAGCTATTTACGAAGATATTTGGAAAATAGGGTTTGGGTCAGAAGATCCACGTTGCGGGGACGCCAATGGCGCCGTTCACGGCATTCGCACCAGGACCTATTTAGTCTGGCCCTAGGGCATATCGAGTCACTTAGTTTGGAAATACCAGCCATAGTTTCTGTGCATCGCCGCAACGTGGATGTCTTGGCCACCATCCACCAAAACGTTTGGTGCCCAGCCTTATTCGGTGTAGATGCTGAGGCGTCTCAGGGAGGGCTGTGCCAGTCCGTCATCCCTCAGTTGGTAAGTCCCTTTGACCGAGCTATCTCTAAATGGAGAACCGGTTTTGCCGGCTTCAAATCCACCACCTTTTCCACCTGACACGCCCAGTATCCGCAGCGAACAGGTATCTAACGCGTTTTAATACGTACGTTAGGTTTAACCGTTTTATTCTCAGGACCCTTACGAGCACTATCAGTACAGACACGATTTTCGCGCTATCGTTTATCACGGCTTTGATTCAGCTGCGTGTTTCCTGTTCGGTATCCAATGCAGCCCATGTGAAGTTACGCTTTTTTTTTTTCTTTTTGAATTCGCCTTACTGTTTTTTTATGTAGTGCTGTCGTGTTTCGAAGGGGGGGGGGACGGGACGGGAGTGCTTCCGTGTCGCTTCCTCCAACCAAGAGGGCACGTTGAGTTGGGGATCTCAAGCGAGTGGGTCTTATTCGGTCGCTGGGGCAGGAGACTTGTATTTGCCTTATGTTGTGACTTCTAGTTGTTTCTTTTTCGAGTGCGCTAGTGATTGACTAACTCGACTTCTTTGCAGCGTATCATATCACTTATCAGTGAGCAGTGGTCTGAGCTCAGCTGTTTTTCTTCTCTCACGGTTGGAATCGAATGATCTGGCTTTTGTTATGTTATCTATGTCGTTTGCCTTACACGCTTTTTCACCGTTTATCAGGTGAGCTCTTCATTCAGTGGCGGGAAGTCATGTTATGATGGGTGGCTATTCGGTGGCTATGATGGCGTCTCAAAGCGGCTTTGATCGTTCAACCGGCCGGAAGATGAAACGATTTGATCAAGGAAATTTCACAAAATATGTTCTTCAACCAATTTTGCAGCGTTAAACGCAGTTCTTGGTGGCCACGTTCCCCCTCCCCCACCTCCCTCTGGCACACACGCGCGCTTCAACTTCACGTTGCGCCAGTTTGTGTAAGACTGAAGAGCAGTAGGTTCTTCATGGAGGAGGCAGGTCGAAAACGAGGCTTGGTCACGTCCTTTTATGATCGTCTGCGCCCTCCGAGCAAGAGAGTGTTCCTCAAGTGACCTATTCTCCACCTGCATTAGATTCGTCCTGGAAAGCGATGATGTGCAGAAGACAGGCGTGGTGTGATCCTGTTTGCTATAATCTCCTCTCCCTCTTCACTCCTCCTTACCTACTACCTGTACCCATATTCTGGTAGAGTGACCACTCTGCAGCCGCTCGCAGAAGTGGACAGTAAAATGCAGAGCGGCTTTCTAAACGACGTGACTTTCAACCCCCTCTAAATAGAGTTATTTTATTCCTGGTTTAACGAAAACCGAGATTGACGTTGTCTTACTTGAAGGAATCTCCTATTTGCCCACTATGCGGTGATTTCAACGTTGCTCACGATCTCCTTATCAGTATTCTCAACATATCTGCTGTGGACGTTGTTTGTGGAATTATCAGTAATGTGGATGTTGTTTCAACTGTTTCTATTGTTTATTTGCCCATTTATTTTGATTGTTAAGCAGAAGAGTAAGCAAACGATTCATGGGCCCTGGGATGAGGCGATTCCACGAAAGGACGCATCCTAGAGACAGAGGGGCACGATAGGCAGGCGGGCGGTTGCTGGCTAAACGTCGATTGGTTGAAGGGCGAGTAAGATTTTGGTTTTGAAGATCAAACGCGGCTTCCAAAGCATCGAAGCCCGTCCGCCAACGTGGCAGTACTGCCGCCCCCCCCCCTCAGGCCATCGTGCCCATTGCCTTTCCTGATGCATTCAGGGACCATTTCCTCAAGAACTACAACTCCCCCCCCGTGGTATGTTCCTTTCTAGGTCTTGGCCATTCGTATTTTTGCTCCCATGTTGAAGGCATAGGTGGCTTATTTAAGTGCGAAAAGACCAGTGGTTTTAGATTTTCTAAACTTTCGGCTGGGAGATCAAGAATTGTCCATAGGAGAGGGAGGGAAGGTTGGGGTGGGGGGGGGGAAAGGGTGAGCTGTCTGACGAGAGTGATTTCTTCGCCGTCGCGCGGCCTAAATCCAATCGCCAAGTGCGCCTTTCTCAAAGCGCCAGTACGGGGAAACATCCTAGTCACTCGATTGTGTTATAATCCACGTGTTCCCATTGTGTGGGCGGAAACAGTCACCAGTTTTACCTCCCTCATTGGTGGAGACAATGCTGCCCTACCCATTGGGTTAGCTCCCTTCCTAACACGGCAAGAATAAGGAACGTGCCAAAAAGAAGTACAATGGCTAACAGCCGCATCGATCATCGCTTGCTGTATCTTTGAATACAGTTGCCGTAGGCCAGATCAGGCGCTGTTTATCGACGGGGGGGGGGGCGGGCATTTTGTATTGTAATTGTTTCTCTGGTTCCGGTTTATAACATGCTCACTTTGGACTTGTGACGGTTGTGGAAGCTGGAGCAGATCGTCTAGCCAACCATCCTAAAGCGTGTAAACTGAATAAAAAAAGGGTACCTAGATGGGTTGGCAGATCTACGAAAAGCAGAATGCCCCCTCCCCCGTCGATAAACAGCGCCGCCAGATCATACTGGCGGCGCCTTCACTGTTCTACTCAAGTTGTCGCCGTGATATCTTCACCGCTAGGGGCAAAATGATATGTAGAGTTCCTTTCTTGAACATAGCCCTTGCTGGTCATAGTGATGAATGTCCGCTTGTAGGATGACTTAAAGACACAGTTTGCACTGACTATATGAGCGGAGTCAGGCCTAACGCTATGCCTTACTTATCTTCGGGTCCCCCTCATTACGTCTTGTAGTCCGAAGAGGGTTACACCAATGGAATAGGCGCAATGGTAGGCCTTATTACGCCCATATGATCGGCGCGAGATGTGTCTTTTATAGGAGCAATTCGAGTAATTTTGTTATTAAGTAATTTTTGAGTTGTTTTTTTGCAAACGCTGTGCCGATAGGCGGGCCTCCTCCATCATAGTGGTAATGAATAGGAGTACACCTTTTTTGTTTTGCTGTTTTACTTCAGGAACTTGAGATATTGCATGTGCCTTTGATTCACTTGACGCGTTTTTTTGACGCATGCATAGGATTATAAATAAACAAAATTCGGCAAAGTTCGGCTTGGTAGGGGCACGCACTTGTATGTTTCCGCAGATACCCACGAGTTTAATGTATCCGAAACGAGTTTTGTTAGTTACCATGAACTAGCAAAAACAACCAGAGAAAGTGTTCCATGCCCCTCCTAAGCCGAACAGCGTCCAGAAATCTTTGTTCATATCGATTTCCTTTTCTGTATCAGTTGTGCTATGCCGGTTCGTTTAATTCACTTAAAAACATGCAAATAAAATTTATTTTATTGATCTGATAAATAGCATAAGTTCGGTAATCACAGTTGAAAGTGTACATATTACTAGTTGTGTGATAAGTAAAATACCCGCACTGCTACGTGAGTAAAGTTTCAAAGGGCTTGAAGGGAGAAAGGGAACTCGTCCAATCAATGCGAAGAAACTAGTGTGTAATTACAATCGTTATCACCGAAGTCAGTCGGGGCGTTTCAGCGACGCAAGGGTTTGGCGCGACGCCAGACCCTTTTTCGTTACTCATTGAACGCCCCAAAACGCAACGATCCATGGGAAATAGGCTGGTGCCGAGCCAGTTGGTGATTCCTGGTAGGCATATACGGAGTTGTAACCAGGGCACGCCCTACACTGGGGGATCCTCAGCAGGGGGTCGTATTTGGTCGCTTGAGGGAGGAGGGGCGGGGGTCGTATTTGGTTGGAATTTTTTTGATAGTCGATTCTACCTGTCTATCTATTATTTTTACCGGAATTTTATGAACGTTTTTTAGTTTAACTAAAAATTTCGTCGTCGGGGTGGGGGGACAGCAGTAGTGACGGCAAACCTGAATAAAATTTCGCAAAACCACACCACCCTGCTCTCAGCGACGAGCAAATACAACTCCCTATAATGGTGTCAATATCGCCCGTTAAACAGATAGGCGAGATGATTGGTAGGATAGGATGGAAAGGTGGGGGGGGGGTCATAGCAGATGGACGAAATTGAGGGGACAGGGGGAGATTTTCTCCTGCAGCAGGACGTGCCTTGGCTATGACAGACAGATGTTGAGCCTAGCATGGGCCAAAATCCCTCAAATAGTGAGTAGTTCTAGAGAGGGTCGCGCTATTTCGGGGCATGTTTTGTCATGAAGTTCATCTGTAAATGATGTGTACTATCCATAACTTGATCATGACTCATTCCATCCTTTTTCACATAACCCGTGCCACCTCGGATCGGCGAAACTGGTTTGCCACAAGCTCGGAAGCCAATCTGGAAAAGAGACATACATCAGTAGCGACATAACTAGATAGGCTGTCAATTCAACGTTTTCGCATGTTATGCATGTGCATGGCGTAATCTCTATTTTGATGTTTTCGGGTGCAGTTCGGCTTGGTGGGAGCATTTGCTGGTTCCGTTAGTACTGACACTTTCTTCGGAGACTTGTAAATTCTTGTAAAGCTATGCAGCAGCATGAACTTTCTTCAGACTCGACAAGAGTGTACAGGTTTCATCAAGGTGAGACGTGTAGTTTACCAGGAACTGGCGAAAGAAACCAGCGAAAGTGCAGAGTCCCCCACCAAAGCCGATCAGCGCCAATTTTTAGCTTCAGTCGGACGAAAAAAATAACTATTCTTGAAAATTGTTCGCTTAGACGCACAATTCTATTTGCCGGCACACTGTGCTCACGTTTTGTCAATTGCGAAATGCTGATGACCTGTCAGGCGGCTTGGGTGCGGATCGTCAACCCGTACTCCACCGATCGCTGAAACGAACAAAGGACACCGAATGGTGGAAAACAGGCTGGCGTCTCGCCAAATTAGCCGTCCTAACATGCCTCAGCGTCCGCCGCGAGCAAGACTGGGGATTCCCCAAAGAAATTTATAACGAACCTTCTCATTCGGCGTAGAGAAAATGCTGAAAACATGGGATCCCTCGTATCCAGACTGACTATTGATGTCGTTCAGGAACTCGGAATCGCAATGTAGACCGGTCCTTCTAAAATAGCAATGGTTCAGTTGTTCTCTGACGACCATTTCGTCTCCATAAACTTACTTATTGCACGTGCCCACAGGAATCGGTACCACGCATAGTACACCTGCCTTGATTTCGCTCTCAGCGCCGATACGAATAGTGTCGATGATTTCAGTGTAGAGGAGGCCTGAAGTGTGGAGCATGAAGTGCTGTTAGAGACCCGAGGATTTTCTAGTCGTCTTCGGCTCTCCAGCGTTGTTGCACAGTGCACTACGTTTCCTACGACGATCTTCCAGCCATTTTTTACAAAACTGTCGCATAGGCATCGGGAGGAGGGAGGGGGGTAGGGATGGGGAAATGTAAGGGTCGGAGAATACAGCCGACGCCAGAAATAGGTTGAGAGCACATCATCTCCTAGCTTAGTTAACCTGGATTATAAAGCAAATTCACCTCATCAGTTGGAAGCGCGATACTCGCATCCGATCGCTTTGATAGAGCGATCAGAATCACGGTATGAACGCGTTCGTAGCCCTTGATGCGTACCCTGCGCTTTTGCAACACAAGCCTTGTCGCGCAGCTCAGGTCTACTGGCCTACGCTTGGCGTTAACCCGTTGTTCCTCGGGAAGCGCCGGGTACTTGACTATCATTTCAAAATATGGCTCTGAATGGATGCGTATTTTTCAATATAGAGTTAAAGACCAATCTACAAATAAGGGTCTTTCATCCTTTTGAACAATTCTGATACCGATTGACCTCTTGATGTGACTCAATAGGCAGAAATATCGCACCCAGTTTGCCTGGTTGGGTTTAGATTGCACTAGGAAGTGGGCGTCCAATCTTATTAAGATTAGGCAGATGTTCTATTTCTCTCAGCACTTAATCGAGCGACACCACAGATTACGAGACGAGTGCATGGCGCACCATAGTAAGGTTATGTAGCAGTCGTTTGGTTTATCATGATTTACCTTATTCAGCGCAATACACACGCAATATACAGTTATTCCAAAGAGAAGGGCCTCCGAGGGGGTGTGGATGGATTAGAGTCTAGCCGGAGCGGCCCTTCCTCACAAGTCTCATATCAAGGTCGCAAAAATGTGAGGCTGCAAACTTATTCTGCGCCGCCCTCATTCCGCGCCGTCTTTGCAGGATATGCGCTATATGCTGAGGGGACCAGTCTGCATGCTTGCCTGGTATCTTGCAGGAGGTGTGAGGCGTGGGGTGGGTGCCGGTGTAGATGAGCCACTTATTTGTTGATGTGGATACATCACGGCGCTTGAGTGGCTCCACCGATTCTGGAGGGGTTCGCTCTCTTGAAATAGCAGGCTACCGCACCTTCACGAAAATTGCAGACTGACCACCTTGTGCTTTTTTGGCCTCGCTCTCCTTTTTCACACAAGGTCTTCAGTTGTGAAATGAAGCAAGCTTACCCAGTATCTCCCTTGTATCCATACAATTTCCGCCAAGAATGGCTTTTCGTGCTATAGGAGCACCCATGGAATAGGCGACAATGTCCACTTTAGCGCCGGTATACTGTTGTACGGCAATAATGAAACTTCTGTAATAGTCAAGTAATTGCTTACTTTCCGGGTCTAAGTACTGGTTCGCTGCGGATGCTGCGTTGCGTCAAGGGGGAAAAGTGTTTGGCGGGGCTCCAGTCCGTTCTCCTTCAATTGTTGAACAGGGAAGAGCAACAACAACTGGTCGGAAACGTGATGGTGCCCCTCCAAACCAAGCCCTATGGCACGCCTCAACATCCGTAGCGACTAAGACTGTACCAATGCCAAGAATCCATTTCGAACGCACAAAATGGATTCTTGTCACGTCCCAGTGAAATTGGCACTCACTAACCTGATCTGTTTCACATATGAACATTTCATATCGACAAGACCAAATGGTGTTGTACCGGCATCACCCCATGTGGTACCGTAAATCTCGGAATTGGTGTAACCTTGTGAACGTAGAAATTGCACCATTCCCTGAACAAGAAATCGATCATTGGGACAAATCAATATAACGCGCAGAAATCGATAAACTCACCAGAAACCGCGTAATTTTGTTTGTGATTCCATGAACAAGGATGATGGCTTGCTTTTTCGGTTTGTCATTTTCGTTCAGCTGAAATTTTTTACTGGACAACTGTCACATTTTGAGGACGAGTTTTGTTGATTTAGTGGACAACTGTCCACCATATGCAAGAGGAAGGGGACTTTCTGGTTTTTCAGGGGAACCATGCGGGTCACAATAGTCAACGGTGCTGTACAATACAATCGAGATGTGTTACCATGGTATGTGTGCTACAAACGAATATCGATTCAGTGCGCGTAAAATCAATACCACTCCATGACATGGGAACAACAAGGTGAAACGAAGGAAATGCCCTCACCTGACCACCAAACGATGCGTCCAAACCAAGATCGGTACGTTCCAATACGGCAGCAATGTTCACACCGAAACTGTCATGGATAAACCTCCGAAAATGTGGAGTGAATTCCGCTTGAAGCAGTTGGGCGAGTACCACAATGAGCAGCACCACTTGCCGCATTGCTGTGAATTGAGTTGGAGCACCTCACGTCGTGACCAGAAAAGCTTAATAAGAGGATCAATCAGTTAAAATGTAGTGAATCTGAGGAGCACGGAAGTAAGGTTGCAAGATAGATGGGTTATAGGTTACATAACAGAGGTTGTATAAGATTAACTACCCTTAGAGAAGGGGCGAGAGGGGTGGGAGTTGGAGGGGAATGCTGCTTAGAAAATGAAGGTGAATGCAGAGAAATGGCAGGAGAAGCAATGAATGTGAGAAAAGCGGTTGGGAATGGAACCTGTTCGTTGCCTTGAACCGTCCGTTCGCCGAGTACGCGCAGAACGCACATACATAGTTATCCTGGCCTGGCGTTCTTAATCCCCCTTAATCACCTAAAACTTTACCTAATATGGTGGGATCAAGCTTAGAAAATCGGCAGTGCCCGAGGGTCAGGGTTACCCTTACAGCAGTAGGACAGTAGGATCCCTAACATCCTGGCTGATGTTTTATAGGTTACCTTGCCTTTTGTTCACATTTGTTAGGGCATCTCATCCAGAAAACGTGCATGGAAGGCTTTGCTCAAAGAATACAAAGAAAAAATATAAAAAGGCAACATTGGCTAGGAGTATGGATTGGTTACTACCGTAAACCTAAGGGTTTTGGGTAAGGTTAGTAAAGATGAACCCAAACGGAGCTATTTGTATGGCGCAGAATAGATTTCAGGACAAGCCCCACGATGCATACTATGGACAGTGGGGTTCAACTTACAAGCCTATAATCGCTAAGTGACTCTCCAAGAAAAAAAGTACAGGAAAATCGTGGAGAACACTGCAAATAAGGGTCCCTGTCAGCTTCACTGAACGAATTTTCCCGAACTGCTCGTTTTATGCCACCAAAGTGATATCGTTTCTTCGCCTCATCCAATGCTGATACCATCTAGCAGTGAGAAAAAGGAAAAACGATTCAA